TAGAGATGTTGGCGACCACATTGACCCATCTTATGGCACAGCAGCTCGAAATAGATCAGTTGACGTTAGGCCAGTCCATTTCCTAAGACCGGCCAGCCAGGATATACGTATACGTTCAGGGCCTCTCTTACCCTCAATCTTGCACTGTAGAATTAAGTGTAGAAGTCGGTATTTATTATTACGCCTGATGTGGCCAAAGTAAGCCAATTTTCAGTTCTTTACGGTGTTGATAATTTCCTTGTCTTTTCTTAGCCTCTGGAGAATAGTTATATTACTTGTGTGGTGTATATAAGACCTTCAATACACGTAGCACCACATTTTAAATGCCTCTAATCGTTTTATGGCATCTTTTGTAAGGCTCCAGCTTTCTACTCCATAGAGGAGGACACTACAGACGTAACATCTAAGAGTTCTTATGCATATATTAATACTTAAAGATTGCAGAGTTGCAGAGATATTAAAGTTGCAGAGAATCTGCGATTCCAAGTATTCTTAATATTGCAACCCAAATAGCATATTTTTTCCACTCTTTCATAGCATATTGGCGGTGTATCGCCAATTGTAATTTGGGCATTTATGTTGGTATTTTTACTAATGATCATTATTTTTGTCTTCTTGCAATTAAGTTTTTGGCCGTATTTGTTACATGTTTCTACAACGTTATTCATCATCCTTTGGGGCCCCTGCGCATTGTCTACCAGCAATACTGTATCGTCTGCATATCTAATATTGTTTATAAGTTGGCCATTTACAGCAATTCTATTTTCTGATTCGTCCAAGGCCCATCTAAAGATGTTTACAGAGTATATGTTAAATAATGCCGGTGACAGTTTGCAGCCCTGTCTAACTCCTTTTTCGACTGTAAAGATCTCGGACAGTTCATTTTCTTACCTCACTGTTGCTTTTTGTTGAAGATATAAGTTGGAGATCAGTCTTATATTCTTACCATGGAGTCCTGATGTTTTAAGAATATCGATTAGTTTTGCATGCGGAACTTTATAAAATGCCTTCTCGAAATCAATGAAATATGCATACATATTGTAGTTGACATCTCTGGCTCTCTGTATTAAAACTTACAAATTTCCCTCGTTCCGAGTCCTGCTCTGAATCCAAATTAAACTTCACTCAGGTGTTCTTCTAATTTGGTGTATATGCGCGAGTGAATGATAGTAAGGAGTACTTTAAGTACATGGCTCATCAAACTAATTAATCTATGTTCTTCACATTTTCTAGTTTTTCTAGCGCATAGTACATTTAAATTAAATTCAATTCAACTAACTTTATAAACCCTATACTATAGTTTATTTTTAGGAACGAGAGAGTAATTAGCATAATTTTAACAGGTACCTCCGACCACTCCATGGGCGTGCTCAAGATTAATTGAAAAATTTCTTTGAATAATTGTAAAAAATAAATGAATTATTTCAGTGTTATAAAGTGTTATGTGTATGTAAACAAAAGTGACCTCGTTTATCACACATTATATTAGAACTGACTGGCCTACATTAAAAAGGGTTTTAAAAAATTCACATTTTTTTTAATTTTTAAAAATTACAAAAAAGAAAAAGAGTTTTTAAAACCGTCTAAGGTATGTTAAATAGATGAATAAAAATATTAATATAAAACTTACAGCTACTTGTTACAAATCCAAATCAGATTCAGAAGATGAACTTTCAGAACCAAGATTTATAATAACTGGCTCGATCATTTTATCAGTAATATTGTCCAGCTTCCACATTTTTTCCTCTTCTTTAATCGTGTGATTTACCGCCTTTTCCCAGTTTTCAGGTTTTACATTATTTACGGCCTCCAAAAACAACTGTTTAACATCATGAATTTTAAAAGTGGTATTTTTTCTTGAAACTTCACTCTTTATCTGTGCCCATACCAGTTCAATCGGGTTTAATTCACAATGATATGGTGGGCATCTAAGTACTGTCATTCCACGATTTTTGGCAATTTCATCAATTTCGTATTTTTTAAATTTTTCTTTGTGAAGGGCACACAACGAATAAAGTTCCTTTCTTATAGATCCGGGATGGTACGTAATATTTTTTGAACTCAACCAATTCTGCAAGTCTTTTTTTAACCACTTGGTTCTTTGCAGTCCTTCTATAAGTCTGGAGTGATAACTTGCATTATCCATTACTATTACACAGTTCTTAGGAAGAAGATCTATCATTTGTTCGAACTATTCTTGAAAGACATCAGCGTTCATGTCTTCATGGTAGTCACCGGTACGAGTTGATTCAAAAGTTAATAAACCACCTTCAACAAAACCGTCTGAACTGCCAATGTGTACTATCATTAGCCTGCGTCCCTTTCCTGATGGTGGGTTTAAACCAGTAGATAGGTTATTTACAAAAGCGTGCCTTTGACTTGTAACAGTTTCATCCTGCCAAAATTTATTTGGTGTATGACCCTCGTTGATCCATATTTCATCAAGATAAAATATTTTTCTTTTTTGGTTTCTCATTTCCTTTATGGTTCTTAGAAAATGTTTTCTCCATATGACAATATCGCTTCTTTCTAATAAAATAGACTTTCTGGGATTCTTTTTCCAGCGGAAGCCTATTTCTTTTAAAAGTTTCCATAACGTACTTCGACTCATTTCTGGGTAATCCTTATCATCTCGAACTGAGACAACAACTTTATCCAATGTTGGAAATTCTTGTCTAAAGAAGAATTCATGCACTTTCCGTCGAAGTCCTTCTTAAAAATGATATTCTATTTGAAATTTTGATTTCCCTGGAGCATTACGTGGCATTTGAAAACTACCACATTTCTCTTTTTTAATAACTCTGTAAATCGTAGATTTCCCAACACCAAGTGTACTGCTAACTAACTCAACGGTCTCATCAACACTTTCACATAAACGTTTGTCTGTAAATGATTTAAAACAATTAAATATTAATGTTTTTTCATTAACTGTTAAAGGACCAATTTTTCGGCGTTTACACGGCACTTCCAAATTTTCCATAACACTAGTATACACAATAAACTGCGCCTTGCAACTGAAGTACCTACTTTTAGTGAACTGTTAAGAATTTTGAATACGCCACTTGGACCTTCCTACAAAATGGAAAAACCCACTATCACATTTTCTGTGGAATAAGTTTAGAAGGTAGTTATCTAGTCAATTACTGTCGTAGATTCCTGGAATTAAAGAATTAAATGTTTGATTGTTGAAACCCTTACTTCGTGGAATGCACTCATTTCAGATAAAATAAAACGTTTTATTTTATCTTAAGAATTAAACTTTATTTTGCAAATAGGTAGGTACTTATTAAACTTTTATTGGTTATATATAACCAATAAAATAAACATCTTACATTTCTTGCAAATTCATTAGTACCTGTTAACCTCCATCACTCCGACACTGGCAACCTTATTTAGGGATTAGTAACCCTCACAACTATTGTATTCTATTCTGCTCCAAACTTTATACCTGGTGGTCATACTCAATTTAAAATTGTTTTCCTATATACTTCTGTAAACTTGTTGACAAATATCTGTTTTTCATTGAGTCACCCGTATCAACAGTTTAGGGATTTGCATATATAATTTATTGTTTTATTACTCTCTCATACATAAAAATACACTATAACAGCTGACTGACTATTTAGTGTAGTTTCCAACAGATTGGTGATGCCCAATGGCACTAATGTCCCAATACAATACTTGCTTTGTCAATCTCACTCTCAATTAATGTTATAGTTGCTCACTTAATTTGTTATTATTTAGTGTCATTTTATTTTTGTTCGTCAATCTCACTCTCAATTAATGTTATAGTTGCTCACTCAATTTGTTATTATTTAGTGTCATTTATTGTGTTTCAGTTGTTTATTGCTTGTTTTATGTTGTTTTAGTTTTTATAAAAATAACGTACTGGGGCCTGATAATGGGGAAAATATTGTAAGCCTTGAAACCGGTAGCCCAAAAAATCAACCAACTTTATTAAATAAAAACTGCTTAAGATTGTGAGTATTGACTAATTTTCCATGTACTAGTATTATGGACTCACATTGGTAACCTTTTCATCATTTTTGTTTAAAATTATCTCAGCTACATTTTTTATTTAAAACGTTTTTGAAGTTAAGCTTGCCGGTCACTTACGCACTGCAACGCGAAGCGCGCCGAACAGAATTTCTTCGCCTAGGATTTTACGGTTGCGATCCGTGTCCGTTCTGTTCGCTGTGCAGTACGTTGCTTCGCACAGATACGCGCGAGTATATTTAACTACATAAAAAAAATCATAACAACCTTTTTCTCCGCGCTTCGCTTCGCGTTGCAATGCATAAGTGAGCGACAAGCTTTAAGCTTTAAGCTCAAAGCAGAGAACTACGAACACAAGCAGAGAACTGCGTTCGTAGTTCTCTGCTCAAAGCGACAAGCTTTAAAGACTCCCAGATAAATTTGTAACGGCGAATACGTGTATAGAAGTATAACCTCTTACCACACCCGTTTTTTTATAGGGCGTAAAGATTCTTGTTAAATCGTTTTTTGCGTTTTTACCCCTCTACGAAGGGCGTTTTAGGGAAAAACCCGGGGGTAAAAGTGGAAAATTTTTTTGCATCTTTTTTGGGATCTCAAAATTAATATTTTTGGAAAAATTCAGCTTGTTCGTATGATTTTTAGATGTTCAGTGGCATTTTCGTTTCTGACGTTTGGAGTAAATCAGTAGTAACACATTTAAAATCCTAAAAAAAGAAGATGTGCTTTACAAAAAGACCTTATTTCAATGTAAATGTCCAATGGTATATTTGGGTTGGTATATCCGTATTTAAAGTCTCAAAAAATAGTTCTTAAAATTACCAAATTTCAACCAATTATATCATGTTTTCAAAATATGATTTAAGAAATTATTTTAATTTAAGATGCTACGAAGAGTACAAGTGTTCCCATCTCTCGACGGTTTATGAAATGCAGAAGAACTGAGTACTATGTCACTAGGCAACAGCAGCCGTAGCGGCTATCTGTTGCCTAGAAAATCAAAATCGCTTTCACATTTCACACTCATCCAGAAACGTCACAAAATGGGAACCGAAATTATTGGGAAAAAAGAAAATATATCTACTACCGACAATCAAGCAAAAATTAAAACTATTCCGATATGCTGTACCCCATTAGTTCCTAGTAAACCAGCTTCGGCATCACCCAGTTATGGGTAAGTAGAACGTTAAATTCAGGTCTTCTAATATTCAGATTGACAGTTTTTCAAAGTTATGTCAATAAGTGTCATTCTACCTTTTAATATTCCTTGGCATATATCCAGGCTTGGACTCGGAAAATTTGAGGTTCTGAATGAAAATCAGAAAAAGCCCACCTATAACCATAATCACATAATAATAGTAAAACATTTTTTTGCAAAAATTATTCACTATTCATTTCGGCACCCATTTGGAAAACAGCTTTCTCTACTTAAATGGTTAAGTATAATAGTAAATACGCTAGATTTTGATAACTTTAGAGTGTAAGCCCTTGCAACTTGACTTTGTGGTTTTCCATTAAAATTTTCATTTTTTGATGTCTTCGGGATTAATTACCTCATTTGGCTTTTCAAAGCGTTTAGCACTATTTGTATATATATACCACTGCCGATGAATTCAGCATAACATATCTAATTCAGTTTTCGAATTACTACGCTATAATATAAGGGTATGTAGTAATATTTTAACATGACAAAAAACTTAAAAAAGTTCATTCTTTGTCTAGCGTAACATCACACGATAATCAAAAAAACCAGAAAGAAGACCCATTACATACTTTTAGCAGTACCAATAAATCAAACAGTTATGTTGAAGGCAAATATAAGATAACAATTACTTCTGATAAACTGCTGCAGCTCAGAAGAACCATGGAATTAGCTACCAGAGATCATAAGATTTTCACTATTAGAGGTAAGGAAACATTTATTTTTTATTAACTACATTTTTATAAAAGACTTTAAATTGGTAAAAGTAAATCTCTTATAAACGAAATATTTTCTGAAATATGTATAAAAAATAAGAGGCAAGTCAAAGATAAAAATTTTAACGAAAAACAGAAAAAACTATGGTTTTTAGGTACCAGTGAAACTCCGCCAGCAGTATTGTTAGTCGTTCAACGAAAATATTTTAAGCCCGGATTAAGGAGGATTACTCCATACTAAGCTTAACAACCTGTTGACAAAATATAAGTCCATACACTTCACAAAAATAGAATTAGGTCTCGGGACAAGTTATACTCAATGACCGCGACCCACGTGAGAACAAGCACGATGAATTTACGAAAAGCGAGAAATTTAACCGGTTCATACGAATCGATATTAAATTTCTACTGTTAAATCCTTAAACACAAAAACAAGAAATATTTAAACTGAAAAAGAAAAATATAAATATAGAAAAATACACAGCACACACTGTCAGCACATACCATTTCAATAGGCGGGTTCGTCTTCCTCTCAGCTATCCAGTTCGCATCTGCATTATCCACGGTGTTTCTCAAGCAAGTATGCCCGAGCCTCCGTGGTGATGCAGACCAAATACTGGTAGGACAGGCAGAGACTGGCTACTCCGGGATCCCCATAACTTCTGGGACTTAGAACTTTAAAGAAAACTGGCTTGTTGAAGACATGTGGTACAGAGAAGGCATCAGGTCTGCTAAATATCTTGATGGAGGAGTGTTAAATTTTTTTATTCTAACCTCTGATGATTCCTCCCTCTTTGTCTTTGATCCAGAATACGGTGGATTCAACAGTGTTGACTTCAGTGTAGCTGAGCGTAGGTCCGTAAAACCAGCTGGAACCATGTTGTTTCGGGGGAGAAAAGTCTGCCAACATCGTTCCCTGTCTTGTACTTTCTGCCAGGAGCATTATATTTTGTCAACCAGGGAGTTACACCTTTGTCAAGACTTTAAGAGAATAGACATTACCAAAGATGTTTAAGACTATAAATGGCGTAAATATTAGAGACACAATATCTGCCTCAGTTGCAAATTAAACCTTAGGAGGAATCATTCCAAACGAATTCCATAACAGTGTTTTTTACTTTTACCTGAAGTAAGCAAAACTAAACTATATTTTCCTTCATATTTTGTTTTAGGTGGTTGGCCCATTATACGAAGAGAACTTCTCAAAAGAAACTGGCTAGAAAAAATAGAACCAGCAGTAAAACAAAAGTTCGCATCCGTGGATGATGTCACCAGTAATCTACCAGCAAAACAAGATTGGGAATCGACACAATCATATGAAGAAAAATGCGAGAAAACGATTATTTCCAGAATGTTGCAAAATTATGATGTCGACTTTTACTGGAGCATGCGCAAAGACCAGTGTGATTTACAACATAGAGCAAATCCGTTTAAACTGATGAATAGATTTAGTAGGTCTCTGTATGCTTCCAAAGAGGGATTGGCTTTGCTACTGCAGCAATCCTACTGGTACAACGAAAATGGAGTTGCAAGTGTTAATTTTCCCAGAACTTATGTTTTGGGTAAGTTTTTGAAATATATAGTAATACAGAGAAATATAGTTTATTATAATTAAATTTACCTAAAATTTTCCATAGTGTGACTATTTCTTCTTCTTCTTCTTCTTCTTCTTCTTCTTCTTCTTCAGTACAAGAATTATACTTTGCCTGTTAAGTCTATACAACAGTACTATTACCATCTTTTTCGAAGTCTTCCCACACCTTTCGTGCCTTTTATATTGGAATTGAGAATTTTTTGAGTTGTATTTCTTTTCTTTTCTGTGAACATTATTTATAATTTAGCTTTAAATTGTCATTTCTCAATCTGTCAAATACCTTATTTAAGTTTTTCAGATGCTCGTCAAAGGTTTTGGACATGATTATTATATCAACCAGATATACTAGACATTTTTTCTAGGTAAGTCCTCTTAAAACTATTAGTCTAGGCGGGATCTGTTTTGGATTGGAAATTTTCGAGGGAAGCTATTTTTTTGCTGGAATCCCTTCAGGATATGCCCAGTATCGATAATCACGATATGCGCCAGTCGCAAACCCTGTGCTAAATTTTTTATTTAACAAAATCTGAAAACAATTGAAAATTTCTCATTTTTTTGCTCCTATTTTCATTTATAATTCGAAAAATATTGATCTTAGAGAAAAAATTATAAGTAGTTAAAAGTTTCGTTATTAAATTTTACACAATATTTTGTTAGCTAGAAATTGAAAATTTAATGGTTATTGTTGAAAAAATAGCAATAATTGGAAAAAAAAGTACAAAAAAATGAAGTTAATCCTTTAAATGTTTTCGACTTTCTAAACTTGACTTACAAGTTCCATATTCCGCCTAGAAAAACTTTTTAATATGTTTAAAACGTGTGCTAAATTTTGTTAAGATCGGTCGGATAGGTTTTGCATAATAATTTTGCAATCCAGCCTACTGGAAAAAAATCGCAAATTTTCAAATTCATAGTAGGCCCTAAATAAGGCCTTCAGATAGTTGCAATTTTTTTTACATATAAAGGAAGTCTCACACTTTCAAACGCTTTTTGTAAAATTCAAATCGGTTTACTAGGAAAGCCTATAAATTTTTTTTAAATTATAAACATTTTTTAGGCTTATAAACAAATTAAATAACTTTACGAGCTTTAAACATATCAATTTCAAAATGTATACACTTAAAGAACATTAAAAGACGCTTCTTTTAAGAAACAAAAAGATACATTCGGCTTACTGGTTGCCGAGATATTGAAGGTCAAAGTTGGTATACATTTGCCGTGTAACCATAAGTGATAGAGGGCTCGTTTTTAAACAAATACCCTCGTCTTGCCAAATACTTTTTATATGAAAAGTTTTACGTAATGCGCTTCATGGCAACATCCATAAAAAGACAAATAAAAAACCGTTTTCGCGTAAAATGTCGCTCGGAATCCATGAGAGGTGGTGGTGAGGGACATTCACTTCAAATGTGAATCAGCGAGTATCAAGTAGGGGACCATCACTTTGTTTAATTTCGGGTTTTGAAATATAAACAAAAGTAAAGTGCTCCAAAATCTGTAAGGGCTTGTAAAGTAAATTGTTACTTTTAGTAAACAAATATGTATTTATAAATTGTTAATAAATAATTTGAATTGTTAAAACGAAGGAAATTTTTTTTTGTAAAAATCAAACATTTTAAAATAATTAACATTAAAAATAATTTATTTCTGCAGTTTTATCATAATAATGACATTATTTGATTTGAGAATATATTTTGATTCGAAAGTGACGTGTATATTGTATATTGACGTGTTATTATACTGCTGTGTAATGCTCGAAATTGTTTTTTTTTGAGCTTGCAATTTATACATTGAAGTAAATTGTTACTTTTAGTAAACAAATATGTATTTATAAATTGTTAATAAATAATTTAAATTGTTAAAACAAAGGCGAATGAAACAAAAATTTTCTTTTCATAAATAATCTTTATTTTGACTCAATCTTCAATAATTTTTTTTAAGTCTTTTTCTTTTTCTGGAAGGACAAGAATCTTCAGGTTTTATTTCTTCCTCAAAACCTTCATTTTCCATTTCAATATCTTCATCCTCGATCTGTAAATTTAATGTTTCTTCTCCTTCATCTGTAGCTATATCTTGTGCCTCCAAAAAATCTAAGGAATCCATCGACTCCATATCCATATCTCGTTCAACTTCTTCCAATATTTTATTGTGATCAATATTTTTACATGTTTGACCATTGCAGTGAAGACAATAGTCAGAACATTTGAGACCATGTTTGATACAACTGCATGTTTTTGTACAAAGTTTTTTACATTTGCAACTAATATTTCTGAATAATGAGTCAGGTAGTAATACTTGCTCAGTTTGTATTGGCTCAAGACCATTTTGAGTTAGTTCCCACCCCCACTCAGTAGCATTCAGGTTATTTCCAAGCCACTGCTGTACTTGGAAATATACACGAAGCGAGTGTTGCTCAGCTGCAGATTGTGTAGGTGGCAGCATGGACAATTGAAAATTTTTATTTTTGCAACCTTTTTTAAAGCACAAGTAGCGAATTTTATTCAATGTAAAATCGCACTTTGAGTGGCCCATATACAATGCCGATATAATTTTGCATCCGCTGCGTTTAATTTCTTCCTTAGTTGCACTTTTTTCATTAAAAATGGTTGCTTCTTGCCATATATAATTATTTGTTGAAACCAATTTAACAATTTTGCTTTTTCCTTGATAAAAAAATGCAGAGGTTGTATCACAACCAGAAAATGCGTGTAAAAAGCCCACTAAATTTTTTAACGAAGATTTCGTAGATTCACTTATTTTAAGTGCATTATTGAAAGAGTTGTAGTAATAAATTTCTTCCGATTTTTTTCCTTTGCTAGGTTTCCAGAAAAAAATATTTTTATTTTCAGTTACTTTTTGTAAAAATATTACCAGAACATCAATATCCTCTGCAATTATAAAAACTGGCTTGTTATCTGAGGCTAATATATACTTGATACTCGCCGATTCACATTTGAAGTGAATGTCCCTCATCACCACCTCTCATGCATTCCGAGCGACATATTACGCGAAAACGGTTTTTTATTTGTCTTTTTTATGGATATTGCCATAAAGCGCATTACGTAAAACTTTTCATATAAAAAGTATTTGACAAGACGAGGGTATTTGTTTAAAAACGAGCCCTCTATCACTTATGGTTACACGGCAAATGTATGCCAACTTTGACCTTCAATATCTCGGCAACCAGTAAGCCGAATGTATCTTTTTGTTTTTAAAAGAAGCGTCTTTTAATGTTCTTTAAGTGTATACATTTTGAAATTGATATGTTTAAAGCTCGTAAAGTTATTTAATTTGTTTATAAGCCTAAAAAATGTTTATAATTTAAAAAAATTTATAGGCTTTCCTAGTAAACCGATTTGAATTTTACAAAAAGCGTTTGAAAGTGTGAGACTTCCTTTATATGTAAAAAAAATTGCAACTATCTGAGGGCCTTATTTAGGGCCTACTATGAATTTGAAAATTTGCGATTTTTTTCCAGTAGGCTGGATTGCAAAATTATTATGCAAAACCTATCCGACCGATCTTAACAAAATTTAGCACACGTTTTAAACATATTAAAAAGTTTTTCTAGGCGGAATATGGAACTTGTAAGTCAAGTTTAGAAAGTCGAAAACATTTAAAGGATTAACTTCATTTTTTTGTACTTTTTTTTCCAATTATTGCTATTTTTTCAACAATAACCATTAAATTTTCAATTTCTAGCTAACAAAATATTGTGTAAAATTTAATAACGAAACTTTTAACCACTTATAATTTTTTCTCTAAGATCAATATTTTTCGAATTATAAATGAAAATAGGAGCAAAAAAATGAGAAATTTTCAATTGTTTTCAGATTTTGTTAAATAAAAAATTTAGCACAGGGTTTGCGACTGGCGCATATCGTGATTATCGATACTGGGCATATCCTGAAGGGATTCCAGCAAAAAAATAGCTTCCCTCGAAAATTTCCATTATGGTCTGAATTTCTACAGATGCCGCCTAGTCTATATCTCCATTAGACGTTTTAACGTACCTGGAGCATTACAAGGAAGCTGAAACTGGTAGAGACCAGGGCCAATTAAAAAAGCTGTTTTATTTCGATCTTGATGATTTATTTTTATTGTACAGTAGCCGCTTTTTAAATCTAGGGTTAAAACCGTATCATATAACCGTGGCAATGGACAACGATCTTTTTGTGTAACCTAGTTTAATCTTCTATAATCTACACAGAAGCGAAGTAGATCCGCCTTTCTTAGTTACTAAGACTACTGGTAAACACCAGGAGCCAGAAGCTTCATCAATAATATCGGCATTTGTCATGTTTTGTATTATATTTTCCACTTATTTTTGTCTAACAAATGGTAATCTATGCAGGATTTGAGAAATTGGTCTTGTATCTCCAGTATAAATTTTATGTTAAACTACACTAGTACGCTTAGTAGATTTCCAGGATTTAAAAATCTCGTAGCTTTCATTAATAACTTCAATATTTTTTTCTAATTCTTCGGATTTAAAGTTATCAATTTTTTGATTTTCCACAACGCTGAAATGTAGACCTTCATATTTTTGACTCAGTCTCGCCAGAACAATACTTTCAGAATTTGGAGGAATTTATGGATCTTCGCTCACTCTATCTCTTACTTGAGGTATTGATTCTTCTAAATTTAGGATAACTTTTTCATTTTCAATATAGAAATTGAAGATCTATGATAAATTTGTTCTGCATAATATATATCCCAAGAACGCATTCATCTTTAATGTCATCTATAAGAAATCGCTGTTTTACCAAGGTGTTCCTAATCTGTATGGTTCAATAAATTGAAATACTCTAACCTGAAGTTGTTTCAAGATAGTTTGTTTTAGCTTGTTGTAGTTTTCCATTCATAAATCAGGTTCGAATAAAGGATCTGGTTGCACCGTTATCAGTATTAAAGGTGCATTTTTGATTGTCAACGTAGCCCTTAAGTAGTAAATTCTCATCATCATTT